GCCAGGACACAAAAAGTGTCATTAAATTTGAGCATATGAAACAGTATTTAGTTGTTTAGAGCTTGACTTGAATGATGACTTGATTGGACTTTGTACATAACTTATACTATCTATAGCATTATGGAAATCTAGAAAGACACTTTCACAGTCAAAGTAAAAATTGTACAATTTTTTTATTTATATCGTGCATGTTTAAAAAAAACTCAATTTTATGTCGTCTCTTCTAAATGCTAAAGAAGATAATATTTATCTAATAAAAGAAATTAGAATCTAGGTGATATATTATAAAAACAGAGATTCTTAATACTAATTCTAAACTTCCTATTGATAATTATGATTCTAAATTTCCTATTGATAAATTCATTGTCACAAATTCAAATTACAATGAAGAAATGTAAATTTATTTTTGTGCTAATGAAATAGCAGGAATCTCAAGGATAAATCTAGATGATTGTTGGAACGTATTGCAACCATTACAAGAATAACTGAATGAATTAACAAGAATGGTGTATGGCATCGTACCTTAAGGCAAATTGCTTAAAATTATTAAAAATGATTTTTTTTTAAACTTTGAAAAAATTGACTTTTTTGGAATGTTTGAAAATTAAGTGTTTATTTAGTTTTGAATATTTTGAACTTTTTTTTCAAAGCAATCGCATTGCTTTAGCTACATAGAGACGAAATATCAAAGCGCGTAAGCGCCGCGTCGCTGTCTAACAGGCAAACGATGTTACGGAACCCAAAAAAATGTAAACAAAATTGATACATATTATAAAAATCTCCATAAAATATCTGATAATTTGATGTGCATATGTCTAATGATCATTTTTGACCGCCAAATGGCATTATTTTACTTTCTTTACTAGATCTCTGAAACCGCTAGACCTGCCTTCCCAAAAATTTGATCAGTTTTTCATCTTGTCGATACAAGTAAAATGTTTTTTGAATTATCAATATCGGACGCACCATTGTCTTAAAAACTGAGTTGCCGTTTTTGGCACTTTTTGCTCCGTATTTTTGTAACGGCTAGATCTGCCTTTGACAAAAACGTCTCCTTATCAATACGAATCGAATGTTTTTTAAATTATTCAAATCGGTTGATCCGTGTTCTCAAAATCGTCGACGAAAATTTGTATCTGCACTCACATACACACACGCACACACACACACATTCATCCATTTTTTCTAAGGTATTCCACAATGTTCAGAAACCTTTGAAACATAAATATATATAGGTAAAAATTTCCATTTTCGATTTTTTTGCGATTACTATATATTGTAACTTATCCTACGAGAAGTTAAAAATAGAATGTAGGTGTTATATTATAAAAACGAGGATTCTTAAAATGCTAATTCTAAATTTCCTATTGATAATGATAATTTTAAATTTCTTATTGATAAATTCATTGCCACAAATTCAAATTACAATGAAAAAAATATAAATCTATTTTTGTGACAATGTAATAATTAGGAATCCCAATAACAAATCTAGATGGTTGTTGGAAAGTATTGCAACCATTGCAAGAATAACAAGCAATTGTTATGCCCGATGCACCACCCCAACATCCTTCCGATTCTTAAGAACGCCACTAGGATAGACGAAGAGTATCGGAGATATTCGAAGATGAACGACTATTCTCCAGGAAATCGCACATTGCAAAATTCATTCTTCAAAGCAGCATCGGCCATATCAGTACTGTTTAATTAACAACAAAGAGATCATATTATTTCAACGTCCTCATATTCATATAATTCTCCATTTATTAAAACTGTGAATTAAGATAAGTACTGTTAAAAAGGCTAAAGGACTAATAGTGTTCTTATCTCTCGAAGAAACTCCGCTGCAAGGCAAAATTTACAACACAATATTTAAAGTTTCATCACAAACTTTATTCTTCTGTCAAATCTAAGATTCTACGTTACACAGAATGTTGAGTCTCGAGGTGGAGGTGGACCTGCCTTTGAGTAAAATGAATGAGCCATATATTTCAGAAAATATATTTTGTAATTTGTATATGCTCAACGTTTTTTTTAAAAAACGGCTGAACCGATTTCAAAAATTCAAGTGGAAAGCGAAAACAATACTTCCGAAATGAGCAGTTGGAAATTTTATAGAACGACAAAATGCCACTTACCCTAATTCAATTTTGAACTTGGTTGTATCTACTTTGATTCAATTCTTTTTATCCGACGACTTGCGCTTCTCAGTAAATTTCATTGTCTTTTTATGGTTTAAGAGTGTAAAAATTGCATCTATCTAATTTGATGGTCATGGATATTGCAATTCCTTTTAATTTTGGTAGAAATATTCCATTACATAAAAAATAAAATAAAATTTGACTCTGGAGACTTAAACCCGCCTTTATACATATTACATAAGGAATTTCTATGATTGAATATACACAAAACAGTTTCAGTTTCACTTGCAAAATTGGATGCAATAAGCCTAATTATAATTCACAAATTATACCATATCAAAGGAGAAGATATTTAAGAATCAAGTGTGTGTAGATTGGTGTTTTTATAAAATAATTAATATGATGTGTTAATTGAAATTGACAAGAACAAATCATTGAAATAATATAAAAGTGACAAGTGTTACAATTTTATTACAATTATATGAACACAGTGTTGAAGTGGTGGTGAAGTGTATGAAGACTCCTTTTTTGCAGTTATTAATGGCGTCTATTGTGGATCCATATTTAAGGTACAAATTATATTTATGCATGTATATATATATATATATATATATATATATATATATATATAGCTGACTGATAAACATTTAGTCATTTATATCGCACAATATAGTATGTTGCTCAATTTACTGAAAATGAAACTAAACATGAAGATATAAGCTTGTCTGATTAATTGCTGTACTTTTATATATTTTCTATAATTGATTTATCAATAAATTATTATTATTATTATTATTATTATTATATTTTATATAATTTTATATTATTATTAAATAAAATATTGTTTTAATTTATGCAATATTAACACGTTGAAGACCACGTGCTCACCCATGTTATGTGTTATCTAGACCGATTTATTTGGTTTATACTAAAATTATGTACTTTAGTCCATTCGCCAATTATTATAGACTCAGTAATTTGACATTGCCTTTTTTTAAAATCATTATGTTTCAATTTTCTATAATTATGTTCCCATTTATAATTATGTTTTAATTTTAACCCACACAAAATTGACGATTTTTGGTGTGATCCACACGTGGAAATACGATTTTCGATGCATTTTCGAAACATTTTACTTTTGTTTACCATGAATTGAAATGGCTTCTAATTTTAATATCATAAATGTTCAATTGGGTCATACAATCGATTAATTTATAAACTAGTGGGGTACATGGCATCGTGCCCTAAGGCAAATTGCTGGTACTTCCCGTACCGTAATTAAAAATCTTGTCACGTCCAAAAAAATACACAAAATGTGTACACATTATTGAAATCTCTGTAAAATATCTGATAAATTTGATGTACATATGCCTAATAAACATATTTGACCGCCAAATGACATTTTTTTAACTTATTTTTATTGGGAGTCCATAACCGCTGGACGTGCTTTCCCAAAAATTTAATCAGTACTCCATCTTGTCAATACAGGTAAAATGTTTTTTGAATGATTAAAATCGGACGCTTCGTTTTTTTGAAAACTGAATTACCATTTTTGGTTCTTTATGCCCCATATCTTCGAAACGGCTAGACCTGCCATCGCCAAAAACTACTCAGCACGTCTTCTTACCAATACGAATCGAATATTTTTTGAATTATTCAAATCGGTTGATTGGCTTTCCCGAAATCGTCGACAAAAATTTGTATCCGCACGCACACACACATACACACACATCCATTTTTTTCAAGGTATGTCAAAATATTCAGAAACTTTTGAAGCGTAAAGATATATAAACATATTCCTTTTCGATTTTTTGCGATTACTACCACTTACTCTATGAGAAGTTAAAAAAATTAAAAGATGTATTCATTTAAAAGAAATATGCTGAATCATGTAATCCAAAACTAAAAATGTTGAACGAAACCAGTTTAATAATGAATTTTATGATTTTCATATTTACTAGTTAAATAGGAAATGCTGATAAAATATATATTTTATATTTTGTTAAATAATAGTTTATTTTATAAAACAATATACATAATATGAACATAACAGAGAATATCGATGAATTTTTCTATCAAATAATGGTATGGGTGATTTTTTTGGAAAGTATTTATAAAAATATATATAGCAAATTTTCACAAAAATTACTAATATAATCAAAAGCATACACAAAAAATTGTATTAATGTAATTAATTATAAATGCTTTTGCCTTTAGTCAGTTTGTGATAATAATTTGATAAAGTGAATTTATACTATTATGTAATATTAGTTTATTATTGGAACGCAAAAGTCAGGTGTGTATTGAAATAAATATCATATCGCCGATTATTGAAATAGAAACGTAATTTGAATAAATTATTATATACACACCTATACATATATATATATATATATATATATATATATATATATATATATATATATATATATATATATATAAATATAATCTTGCGAGTATTTATAAGAAATCTACTTCTCCAAAAAATATATCTTAAGCAATGATGATGAAGGATCCAATAATTCCGATACAATATTTTTCACATAATTATTATACATCATTGGTTTATTAATCCTATTTTAGTAAGTGAAATAATTGATTTGATTAAAAATACTTAATTTTGTCATGTTAAACACATAATACTTTCATACAAAAACGCTTAAGCAATAATATATTACATATAATACACAAAACAATATTTCCATTTCGTTACTGATGAAAACCAAGAAGGTCTAAAAGATAGAATAACGAAAATATTATTTTGTGTGATAATAAAAATAAGCATAATATACATATAAAATCTACAATAATACCTAACAAAAAATAATTCACACACAATTGCACTTCGCTCTTTTTATGCTTTTTTCATTTTTCTTTTATAAATATTGAATCTTATAATAATTTGAATTTATTTTTTATAAAATTGCATAAAATGCTTTTATATCTTACAAAAAATGACTTTGGTTATAACAGATATAACAAAGCACCACAGTCATTCATTTTTAATGTAAATCGTATATGGGCACTTTACAATCTAGATAATATAATTAAAAACTAAATCCTTTGAATTAAATTAACATAGAACTAAATACTGACCATAATCCATATAATATAAATAATGCTATAGTTAACTTTACTATTTGATGTAGATAGTAGAACCTAGAAGTAGAACATAAGATAAAATTATACAAGTCATATTAAAAAATATATTGTTTTTTAAATATTAAATTACCTGTTCCACTTTCGCCTTGCTGCTTCAATTGTGCTTAAATCATCTTTGAATAAGTATATCCTCATTCCTTTGATGTAAGTTTTCATGTAAGCTGACCAATCCATTGTTTGCATGTTGAAATCAAACATTTCTTGATCTTTTGGAGATATTTTCTTCCATAGCGCTTGAACGTTATTATTTGTAAATGTCCATTCATTAGTACAGAAGAATGAGATTACGTTTGAAAACTTGTGGATCTTTTTATAGGCTTTTAATAATCTGCAATAGAAAAAAATACTTTCTTAATCTTTTTGCTAGGGCCGTGTTTTGGGTGACACTGCTGTATGGAACACGTACCGCCCATTAACTCTTGGGGACTGCTGTCCACCTGAGTGGACAAACATACTCTGTGAGGCACAGGCTATTTTATAAACAATGACTCAGTTTGCATCGAAAAGTTGAATAAATTACATATAGCAATGATAAAAAGTGTTGTATTTTGAAAATAATTTTTAGTTATTTTATTAGTATTTTTAGCTTTTTTTTGCTCTAAAGTCTTTTTTTTAATATTTAAAACGACCGAGCGCTTTTTAATATGGCAAAACGACTGGTAAATTTTGTGAAGATGAGTTTCAAATAGACATTCAACCAGACAAATTTTACGAAATTACTATTCGCACCGAAAATAGTGATGAATGTGATGATGATATCCAATTAACAAAAAGAAAAAGTTCGACAAATTAAATGAAGAGTGGAAAAACGTTAGCGAATGTGCCGATTCTCCTTCAATAATCGAGTTTGACATACATCAACGAATACCCCGACTACAAATACCAAGCAATATAAGACATCCAATAGATTATTTTACTTTATATTTTACAAATGAATTATTAGACAATATAATAGAAAAGCAAACCATTATGGCAGCACAAAAATGAACAAATATACTGACTAATCAGTGGCATATTCTAAATTCTAAAAGGAAAAAGGATTGTATTGTCTGACAGAAAAGCACCAGGAGGAAGGCGGCGAACAACATTATATTGTAAAATATGTCAAAATCAACCAGCTATGCATTTTGGAAATTGTTCTGAACGTGACCATTCTTTATAAAATGACCAAAAATAAATTAATATTATAAATGTATGACCTTCAATGACCACAAATTTTTATCAAACAAATTGCATAACATACACAATGAAATCAAGTTTACAGTCGGTACAGTAGATTGTTTTGAAATCGGTGCCGTCCCGTAAATGTTAAGATTTATCAATAAAACTGTAGTTAAAAATGAAAAAATACACTTCTAATATATAGCCTCAAGTGAAAATTGCCCTTCGTGGGTATAGTTGCATATATAATAAAAATGTCAGCAAATACTTCGAGTATAGATGATTAGTCATAACTGGACATAGCATAGGGCAAAAACCATGTGGTTGCTGTGCAGTCAGGCGTTTTTCTCAGGCTGTCGGATAGAAAAAAAAAAACGATGGTAGATGACATGGTCTTTCTGACTCAGCTTCATAACATACTAGTGACGTTGCAGTTTATGTGTAAAACGCCTGAATGCACAGCAATTTCATGACATTTTGACAGTATCCAGTATAATTCGGTAGCATTATGTATAGAAGTTGGAACGTAACATGGCTTTGTCATAATATTGGTCTGTTGTATAATATTGGCCGCAGAATTGGTCCATTAGTTTTCCAATATAGTTTTGATAGTAATATTGTGCAATCACCACGTACCTTGGTTTTTGTCCGACACAGATCGCAAGAGAGTCGATTAACATGGCAGGTAAGAAGTGGAGGAAGATCTTGTACAATTTATTCATGGTAGCAGATTTATTCATTGTGAAACACAAATACCTACAAAATAAAATAATAATTTAGCTTTGTCTTTTCGGCCAAAAATATAGCCAATTGATGGATTTTATTAAAATAAGCAGAGGAAGAGTTAGAATTTCACAAGCAATCAGAACTTATAAGTTCTATGAGCTACTGATGACACGAATATAATATTTTGAAATCTAGAATAAATTATGATTAATTATTTTTGATATCTTACCATATTGCACTGGAAAACGGATAATCAAAACCTAGGCGAACATTCAATTCTGTGTACTGGCCCCATGTCAATGGATTTTCTACTGAAGATACATAGTTGTAAACTGGCATATCTTCTCCAGATCTAGAAAAATAAATAAATAAAATTTATATTCCAATGATTTATATTTTTACATAGAATATATCATTTGAAATTTTGTTTTCTTCAAGACTCAAAACTATTGATTCAAATTCTCACAAATAGACAAATTTGACGATCATGATATAGTTCCATTCTTATTGACATTGATTGTTGAATCAAAAGCAGTTGGTTGAAACATTTTTTTGTTTAGTTTTTTCGGTTTCAATTTAGTTGCAAGTTTTTTCCTACTTTTTATTTTTTTTTTGATCAGCATAAAGTATGTTCTCAAAGGTGTTGCAATGTAATTCCTTAACCTAGTATTATTAAAACGCAAGCCAGTGGTTGTCCTAATACTTTTTAATTATCTAGGATCTTCTAATATTAATCAATAATCAGCAATGCACCGATGAAAACTGATATCGCTACTGCTTGAGTATGATAGAACCTGAAACACATGGTTGCAAAACCAAAGTCTTTCTCACGAAGCCACAGAAAAGTTAAATTTATTTGCAGTAAATATGTATTATAAAAAATATGTCAAACAAAATTGATACTGATCAAAAAGGGATGCGACCAAAAATTGATGCGTAGTTCTCACACGCAATACGAAACGAAAAATACAATATATTGCATCATATTTGAAACTATATAATTAGTATGCGGTTTATGCCAGGAGTTGATGACAAAAATAAAACAATAAAATTTTATGCCAACAAAATAAAATTATTTTCAACCAACCTTCCTTTGCAATTGGTAGCAACATCCCATGCTGCTGCCATTACAGCATTAACAGTCATGTCCACAGGGACAATATTTGCGTTGATGTCTTCATCGCAATGTAAGGTCCTTAGGACCCCTGTCGCAACTCCGGCTACGACTCCGGTGGGTCCATAGAGATTGTCGATCCATCCCACAACTGGTTCCTTGGAAGTAGAAGTTACTGAAACACAAGAATCAAGTGATATGAATACAATTATGAAGCAAGAATATGATAAATGGGTACACTGAATTCTAAAATAATGTGATATATGTGATAAAGAATAGCTCGCCCGTAGGTAAGCGGTTAAGAGCGACGGGACTTGTTTCAGAGATCCTGGGTTCGATACCCACTTCGAGCAGCCTCTTGTCAGGCAGCAGTGACAACGATTTGCACTTGAAAATATAGATAGCAATATGTTTCCAAGTGAAAATAGCCCTTGCCCGGCATTGCTGCACCAATAAAAAAGTCAGCCCTATTAGATTAATTCTAATAACAAAAATCATCAAATATGGATAGATTAACCATTGCGTTACCATCTAAAAATACGAAGTAAGGAGAAGTTTCAGCCCAACAGCTCATAGGACGTAAGGTTCTGATTGCTGTTTAAAAATAATAATAAAAAAATTTAGAGAATAAATAGCAATAATAATATAGTCAAACAAGGTGCAACTGGCATGTTGCCCTAAGCTAAATTATATGAACTTTTCGATATGCAATATTTCATAATAATGCGGTTTAGCAGGCACTCAGCTATTCAACTGCACAAACAGAACTTGGGTAAATTACCTCAAATGGGGTAAAAGTGGATTTTTTGAGGGTAAAAAGTATTTTTAATCGATATTTATTGTATTTGCTGCATAGTTCTCCGTAAGGGTGTATTCTTTCTTTGCCATAGGGGTAATATCAACTTAGACAAAAATATTTTGGGGTAATGATTAAAAAAGTTCTCCGACCGATGGCTAAGATATCTTATGATGTTTGAAATACCATGAACCTCTTCGTTATGCAAAATTGCATAAAATTTCGTCAAAAAAGGTTTTTTTGATAATTAAATAGAAAAAAACAGCCTGGCCGATCTAAAAAACTAATCAGAACCTTTCTCAACTGATATCTTTAAGTTTTCGAATTTTCAAAGGATCACGAAATTGGCAAAAATACTGGTGAATTATTCTGCACATTTTTGTTAATTCTAAAGAAACGGTTTGGTTGATCGTCGTAAAAAATAACAAAAACCACACCAAAGCGAGTGCTTTTCGATTTTCATCAAATGGCTTTTGAATTGTCGAAATTGGTGCAATCATTTTTGATAAAAGCGAAAAGTTCATATAACTTAGATTAAGTCAACACGCCAATTACACCTCGTCGACAAAAAATCGAATATTCTTTCACATACACCTACACACACATATTTTTTTCGATTTTGGTATCAAACGATTCAGAATAATGGAGACATCCAAAAAACATAAAATAGGCCAAATAGATTTTCTGTCGAAATCATAAATACCTCATTCGGAAAGTTAAAAAAGTAAAGGTTAAAAATGATTCTTTTGGAAAATGACGATTAGTTGTTGATGTTATGCTGGAATCACATGATGAAATTTATCATAGTTTTTTTTGTATTTGACTCATATTGAGCTCTTTTACCAAAGAAAGTTTTTTTTTAAATTTCAACAGTAATCAGCATATAACGAGTCCTATAAGTGCTGACTTCTTAAACAACTTGGCTTTATAGATGACAAATAGGACAAAAATCAGCAGAAATTCCTAATGAGGGTTTTTTTTAACTTAAAAACATATTGCCATCAATATTTTCAAGTAAAAACCGATGTAGATGCTGCTTGACACCCGGCTGTCCGCGGCTATTAAATCTCGAATTCGCGGGGTATTTGATCAAATAAGGATATTTTTTTACTAAGATTCTTAATACGTTACATACCTACATTACCATAAAATTTTACATAAGAAATACAGATATCTGATATTTTTGCATATTCGACTTCAAGACTTTTTCTATTATTTATATACATCTATCATATAAATTTCATTTGTTTTAATCATTATCAACCTTCCTTAGACAAAATTAAATATTGTTGTTAAAATAATATGTATAGAAATATTTTCAACTTTATTATCATCTATGGTGACTCACTGCTAATTACATTCTCCACTAATTAGTAAATATAGTAAATGAACACGTTGTCCAATTCCAAAACTTTTCCGACAACAATTCCGCCGAATAATAATTGCGATAAAAATATTTTCAAATGAATTTCAAGTGATAATTACTGACACATATCGCTTCAGGGGCACCTCATATAACTTTCTTAGTAAGTCCTCCATTATGACATTGCTGTCGCCCACACGATATGTGCAAAAATTAATGGCCAGTATAAATGATTGTTTCAATAATGAAAAACCCCGGGTCATTCAGCGGTATTTTTTGTGATTTAACATTTGAAACATTGATTGTTGTTAATTAGTTGAAATAATATTTATCCCGTATATCCCATGATCCTCAATAGCAAGGTCAAGGTAGTTTTGATTTATCTTGGCTTGATATTAAAAACGTGGAAATGATGTAATGTTTGATATATTTGTAACGTATAACGCAAGTTTATGACGTATTGTGACTGAGAAATATGACGTTAAACAATTCATACTGTTTGTTTGTTTATAAAATTCTTCTAGGTAATAGAAATATATTTCATTGTTCCATGTATCTGTTCTGGAAATCCATAGACCACGAGTTAAGTTGTTTAAACTTGTAGTTTATTAATGGAATATGAAATTAGTACTTTTGAGAAAAATCTATTATTTAACTTCCCGACGGAGAAGTTTGTTTTCAAGTCATTCTGATTCGTTTGACACCAGTTGGAAAATTTGTACGAGTATGTATGAGAGCTTAAAATTGACTTGCTCAAGCCTTTAACACCTAAGCATCTAAAAAAGTTGTAAGGACTTATTACATGACAATATTTAAAAATTTAATGTAATAATAACAGAAAATGGATAGTTATCATATCATCATAGGATAGTTATCCTTGACAATCTATATTTTTAAATTTAAATTTAATTTACAATTGTAGTTGAAAAAAATTGAAATTTCTTCTATGTTTTCCCAAAAAACCATTGCACCGATTTCAAAATTTGAAGTCAGTTTATGAAAATCGATAAAGACTCAAGTTGATTAGTTTTGCGTTGTGATTAGTCGAGCCGTTTTTTTATAATTAGAAGATAAGAGCATAATCTTTTGTTTTCACAAAAAAACTGAATCAACTTTGAAAGTTCAAAAACTAATCAAGGCTCTTGATTAGTCTTCTTGAATCTCTTGATTCAAGAGATATTAGTTGTTGGAAAGCGTGCTGATTAGTTTTAGTATAGATCGGACGGACCGTTTCTTTGTAATTTCAAGAAACTTTGCATAGTGATAAAGTTCATATTCTAAACGAATACTTCAAAAATATTATAGGCCTATAAAAAGCGTATCAATTACATAAGTTTATCAAAGTTTGGAATACTGAGCAAAATTTTGGACAATGAAGAGAATAGATCTAGTACTTTTAAAGCTCATTTTCTTAATCCTACGATTTTACCTGCTGTCTATTTCAGGACAGGTGTAAAAATTACCATACAATATAATTTTTTTTTTTTTTTTTTTTTTTTTTTTTTTTTTTATTTATTGTTTTGTCAATCAAGACTTAAAAAGTCTTATAATACAAAATTGCTTATTTAGGTAATAAAGAGAACAATAATATAAAGTAAACAGTATACATAATAAGAAATAATAATTAAGAAACTAAAGGAAAATTATAAAGTGAAGTAAGAAATAAAAATATAAATTAAACAAAAATGGCGTGGTGAAAGGTGTTGCCGACTTAAATTCGCCGGAACACGCATTTGTTCATTGCAGCGGTAGATCGACGGGCCATTTCCTTTTCAGGCGTCTAGTGGGTCTGGGCAACATTTTGATGGTTGGATTTGCGTGGACTTGTAGTTTGTTGTTGTAGGCTAAGCTTCTTGATATTATTTGTTCATGAACTGTTCTGATATTTAAATCCTTATGTAGGCAGAAGTTGGTGATATACCACGGTGCATTTGTCAGTAAACGTAAGATTTTGTTTTGACACCTCTGGATGATGTTGATGTTGGATTTACTGGCACATCCCCAAAGTTCTATGCCAAAAGTCCAGATGGGGATGATAGCCGTTTTGTAGATGAGGATTTTATTCTCAAGTGATAAATTACTTCTTCTGCCTACCAGCCAATACAGATCTTTTATTCTCAGTTGAATTTGTTTTTTCTTGTTGAGTATATGCTCCCTCCAGTTTAATTTAGTGTCGAGGTGCATACCTAAATATTTTACACTGCTGCAATTCGGAATTATTGAATTATTGAGGAGGACAGGAGGACTATTGTGCTTTCTCAAAGAAAAAATAATGTGTTGAGATTTGTCGGTGTTGATCGAGATCTTCCATTTGTGGAGCCAGGATTCTAGTGAAGTAAGGTAATTTTGGATTTTATCAGTGGCAATTGCAATGTCCATGTTGTTCGAGATTATTGCTACGTCATCGGCGTATGTGCAAATCATCAAATCTTCATCAGTAGGTAAATCTCTTGTGTAAAGAATGTAAAGTAGTGGACTCAGGACGCTGCCCTGTGGAACACCACATTCTATGTGGCGTGTGCTTGAATAGTCACCTTTAACTCTTACGCGAAATTTTCTATTACACAAAAAGGAGTATAAATGTTGAAGTAATTGGGAAAAGTAGTTTGTATTTTAGAAAGGAGTCCTGTGTGTGATACTTTGTCGAAAGCTTGACTTACGTCAAGAAATACTGCTACTGCATGTTTTTTATGATTCAAAGCATCCAGAATATAGGTGACTGTTCTATTACATTGTTGGGTTGTTGAGTGGTCCTTTCTGAATCCAAATTGGTGGTTTGGGATCCATTTTTCACCTGGATGATCTTCGCCTAGTCTGAGTAAAATTAGTCTTTCGAGAATCTTGGATAAAACTGGTAAAAGACTAATTGGTCGGTACGAACTGGCATGATGCGGATCTTTATTTTTCTTAGGAATCATTATTATTTCTCCAGTTTTCCAAGCTGTAGGCCAATAGTTGAATTCAAGAATTGCATTGTAAATATTGGTTAAAAATATTATAGAGTTTTTTGGCAATTCTTTTAGCATTTTTGGAGTGATATTGTCGATGCCAGGGGAAGACTTGTTTTTTAATTTTTTGATTGTGCAAGCAACATCATTTGGAGAAAAATGTTTTATTCGTTTTATTGAGTCGATATTTGATTGCCACGAATTATTGCAGACTGGACCTAGGGACAGATTTGTGTCGGTAAAAATATTTTGCAAGTGATCTGCAAAAGCTTCAGCTTTCTCCGTATTTCTTTTTGTCCATGTATATCCATTCAGAGATCGAATCTTCAGTGGAGGGTTCGTTAGTGTTGGTTTCCCTTTGATTTTGATAGGCCTCCAAATGGAGTTGTCAAACCTGTTGAGTTGCAATAGATATGTCTTGAAAGCGTCGTTTTTCCAAACCTTTACTTTATTCTGTAATGTCCTAGTGAGTTGGTTTAACTTAGTTTTATCTTGAGGCTTGTGTGATAGTTGCCATATCCTTCTTGCTATCCTCTTCTGCGAAATTAGTTTTTTAATTTCGGAAGGAATAATAGGTGTGGAATTTTTCGTGCGACAGGTTGGAGTAACTAACTTTGAGGATTCTTTTAAAACTGTTGTGAATTTATTTATCTTGTAGTCAATGTCGGCTGAACTTTTCGGTCTGGAATGTGGAAAAATTTTTGAATCCAGTAAAGCCCTGAATTGATCCCAATTTGTAAATTTGTTGTGGAGGATAGCTGAAGGTTGTTCATTTACAGGAATTGAGCTGAATGTTAACACAATTGCAGAATGATCTGACGAAAGATCATAGCTGTTCTCTATGTCAAAATTATTTAAGGAGATACCTTTAATTATGAAAAAATCCAGAAGATCTGGTACTTTGTCTGGATCAGAGGGCCAATAGGTAGGACTGCCTGTTGAAATATGGAGGAGATTGTTATTTGATATTGCCATGTGAAGTTCTTTTCCTTTCGAAGTTGTCAGCCTGGAGCCCCAAGCTGTGTGTTTACAATTATAGTCACCTCCTAATATAAATTTGGATCCTAGTTGTTCAAAAAAGGACGAATAGTCATTAGCTGAAATTTTGAACCTAGGAGGGCAATATATCGCAGAAATGGTTATCTCAAATGATCTTGTTTCTAATAGGATTTGTGTTGCTTGCATGGATTCTTGTTGGACATTCGGAAGTGCAAAATGTTTTAAGCTGCTTTTGATTAATAATGCTGATCCACCACGAGCGCTACCACTTGGATGGTTTGAATTATAAGTGATATAATTTTGAATTTTAAAATATGTTTTTTCAGTAAAGTGGGTTTCCGAAATGAGGAGAATGTCGATATGATTTAGTTTCAGGAAACACTCCACTTCATATTTGTGAGGAATTAAACCATTAGCGTTCCATTGAGCGATTTTAATTAAGTTTGCCATTATTCAATTTATTAATTAGAGTGGTTAACATGTTGATAACGAGGCTATTTTGTTGCATAAGTTGACTGAAAAAAGTCTTGAATTCTGAGAGAAAAGACGATAAAGTGGTAGAATCGGAGTCCGTGATTGGATTCGAGGAAGTACGTTGCTGATTTCTTGTGGCGTTTGCATAGGAAACTGAGGGGTTAATTGGATTAGGAATTGTGTTGAATTTATGCGAATTGATTTTAGTTGTGATTGAAGGAGTGGGATATGGGGCGTTATTTGTTTCTTTATACAGATTTCTATTTCTTGGCTCGATATTTTCTTTGTAGAAGCTACATCCTCTGTAATTAGCAGTATGCGCACCGTCACAGTGATAACAGTGGGCTGGAGTATTAGGGTCTTTAGTACAATCTTTTGTTCTGTGATTTTCACCACATTTTGAGCAAATAAAAGGTCTGTTGCAGTAAGCCTTAGTATGATTATACATTTGGCAACGTGTGCATTGCACAATGTTGCTGGATTTGCGCGGTGGTTCTACCCTGATTATATTATTTGATATTTTATAAACATTGTATATATTTTTATTGTTTTTATTGGGCTCTAGGTCCACAAAAAACATGTTCAACGGCTCTTTAGTTAACCTATGCCTTATATTGAGAATATTTCTCACGACATGACCCTGTTTTAATAATTCTGATTTTATCAGCTCCGTGTCTGTAGAGAAATGAACATTCCTAAGTACTACCCTGTATGCTTTTTCTTGTTTTAGTTGATAAGTGTGATAAACTACGTTAGTTTGTTTTAAATATTTCGAGAGTTCACGAAAATTATCAACAGTTTGGCATATGATTTTAAAGGTGTTATTGGCGAGGCTTCGAAGATAGTACTGATTTGGCGGAACTATTTTGTTAAACGTGTTTAACATGTCCGCGGGATCTTCAACTCCGTAAATAAATATTGGTGGGGGTTTATTAACGGTTGTTACAGCAGGGGTTTTGTCTTCTACATTTATTGATGATAACGCAGAAAATCTATTATTAGTCGATATATTAATTTGTAAAGGAACATAAGAAGTTTTTCGTTTTTTTGGCGTGAATACTTGCCAAGGGTTAGGATTAGAATCAGTAGTTGGTTGTTCCGAAGAATGTGAATCGTCTTCCATATTGTTAAGATTTTCCGATGTTTGCTCCAAGTTTTCCGAGTTCTCTTCTGATGAATGAATAGATCGGTTAACGTCAAATTTATTAAGATCTTTGTTGTTATCAGTAGAATTTGAAGAATTCACATGAGATGAACGTGATGAAATAGCTATACTTTTGTGGTTTTTTATTGAAATCTGTTTTCTGAAATCACTTTGTCTTGAAGAGTAATTTTCACTTAATTGGTGAGTAATTATTGCATTATTTTGTATAGGTTGTGAAATCAAACCTGATCCGCTTGCTAAAGGTATTTCTTCACTTGGATCTGCAGAAATATCCATATCATTCAAAACATTAAACGATTGAACAATAGGTATGACCGGTTCTTTGTCCCCTCCGATGGGGACCATGTTGCGTAACTCCAAACTACACTCACTGATAAGAGTCTTTTATTTGAACACTCACAGGTAAAAAGGTAAACTGCACTGAAATAATGTTTTTATTTAGAATAGAACACGATGTGCACCGTACGGCTGTCGGCGTTAGAATGGCCACAATATAAAAATGCTTTATTTTCATTGATTAAGTCGATTATTTATACAAATTTGGAAGTTCATACAACTTGCCCTAAGATAATGATACTTTACCCTGATTGTTTTCAATTTATTTGAATTATTTGAAACAATAATTCATAAATTTATATAATAAATATAAGAGAAATCAATTATGTATCATTTAATTTTTAATTAATGTCAGTAATTGTCTAATTTTTATGCTCGAATACCAGTAACAAGGAACAGATACCAATGTTAGACCTAATTTAGTTTCAGATTTTTTATAACATTATATTTATTAATAATAAAACGGTTTGCACAATTTTCAATAAAATTTAGTGGATCATGTAGTTTAAACTCATTAATAGTTTGCAATGTTTGCTATATATAAATCCTGCAAAATCTAAACATATTACATAGTTTATTATCACAATGTTTATTTCAGTATCGTTCTGTTCTTTCATAGTAAAGGACTTGATTGAAGTATAATTATTGAAAATTTCATTAATTTTGATGACTACTTTTATTGCAATTACGATAATTTTAATCCTTTTGTATACTTACTTTTACATATATTTATATACATTATATTTTTTAAAATAAAATAATTATTATTATACTTCATTAGGTTTTATGTGTAAAACGCCTGATCGTACAGCAATTATATAGACATTTACACAGTTCTTACTACCAAGAAACAAGCATACCATAGCGTTGCCATAACAACGCTATTTTATCGTCTATGTTACGGTAACAATGTTCCATTAATTATAGATGTTCTAAAGATTAGTTTTTTGGTTTACATTAATGGGTCAAAAACGTTCATTTATTTTTGTTAGAATGTTAAACGGTTTTAAATAATTGCAATTGGTATATTGCAATGTCATAAGGTAATTATTATTACGACTTACCAATTGCTGGACGGAACATGCCGATAGGAAGTCCTTTGCTTTCGGTTTTGACCAAATCCTCAGCCATTGCCTTTGTGAATGCATAAGTGTTTGGCCAATTTCCGAGAATGCTGAAATAATAATAATAATAAAAAAATTACTCATCAATTGAAAATTTATAAATTTAGAGTTATTATTTATCTACCTGGGTGTTATGTCTTCAACAGCCTTATCGTCCAATTTCTCGATGAGTGCCACTAAATCTTCTCGTTTAACTGAGTATTCGTAAAACTTTTCATCAATTTGGCGCAAATGGCAATTTGAATAAGCTGTAGATACGTGAATTACACTCTGTAAAGAGATAAATACAATATAATATTTAATAAATGCAATACATCTATAAATATCCTGGAAGGTATCATTCGTAAGGTAATACTATATAAGGTATATACTATATATAAGGTAATATAAAACAGCAAGTCCAAGCTCAAAATATTTTCGGTCATAATATCATAAATATTTTCGTATTTCCTAGTCAAAGAATGAAAATCTTATGATGAATGCTCTAGCTGAGAGCATCCACCAGCAAAAATGGTGGATGAATAATGTTTTTTTTTTGCAATATCTAAAAATATTCGTCAAAAACACATGTGCAGACATTTCAGAGTATGAAGATGGCTACATATGTGTTCAATGCAGGTTAATTTTAAATGTTCGGTACTAGTTGCCACTTTTTACCATCATATTTTTTGTTACCGAAGTTTGATTGATAATATTAATTATTTTTTAGCAAAGGTTGCGTTTTTGTTAATTTAGTTTGATTTCTACCTTTGTTATCTAGCATAAGTCATAATTAAATAAACATTTCGTAAAATATTCTTTTGATTTATTTATAAATAACCTTAGGTGTCCGCCACTTGGGGGCTCACCTCTACTGACATTGTGAGATATTCTGATTATGATAATTTAGCTAATTGATTTTTATATTGCTATGTACGAAATTTTTAAAGAGTAATATTTAAGCGATTATTATATTAAAGCACGTCATATTGAAGTGATTTAAATTAAGCAGTTCTCTTCTTCCCGCTATAAGTTCTCATCCTAGATTCCATTACCTTAGTTAAACGAAAAGTTCATTATTTGATATGTATGTTTTAGCAATATCTTGCAAATAATATAAATCTAGCAAATATTTAGTGAATATATACCTTAAGTTGAATCATATGTTTGCACAAGTCCAATATGTCTTTTGTTCCGTGTACGTTAATTGCCATCGCGACACGCAGGTGCTCATCGAATCTTACCGTAGCGGCGGCATGGAACACTATGTTCACCTGAAATAATAAAAAAAGTATTTAAAAAAATGGTGAAAAATCTCTAGAGTTTCATGTATAACACAAAATTAATTATAAAATTTATTTAGCAATTTATAGTAAATACTAGTTTTTTTGTATAGCGAAGGAAATGCTTTTACGAATACTATACTAGGTTTTTTGTCTGGGTATGTCGGATACCGCCTGGATCATAGAATTAGGGGGCTTCCATTAATTACGTGAGCGAGTTTTTAAGGATTTTTGGACCGCTCCTCTGTCTTGGTGATACATCGTGATATTCAAAATTACCCCCCCTCCCCCACCGAACATCACGTGTATTTTTAGTTACATGAAAAAACTATAACAATTTTGATTTTTTTTTGAAAATGTTTGAACTCTTTTAAAAAAATTAGTTCAAAAATAAATACACGTGATATCTTACTATACCCCTCCCTCTCCCCCAGAGATAATAATTTTGATGTTCTTTGCCAAACCTCACATGATTAAAGGACACCCCCTTATGTTATAAGTGTTTGATCATAAAATCTTAAATTTTAATAATTTATCAAATACCTAGAACATTCACTGTCTATTTCAAAACTATCATAAAGCATCTAAAAAAATCCTACAATTTGTATACAAAAATAACAGACCAAGCGTTCTACCTAGTACAGAATAAATGGATTTTATAAATTTCTGAAATCTGTGCAGTTTTTGACAAAATGTCAAAGAAAGATTAAGTTTTGGCTCACATACACACACACACAAAATTGGTCTCAAACGGTTTAGAATAACTTGATACGTTGAGAAAATATAAACCTAGCAAATCGGATTTTCTAGCGAAAATATAAACCTCTTCGTCGGAAAGTTAAAATGGGCTTTCACTGCACTTATATTACTATAACTAGATTACTATAACTTACCCTACCTTTTGTAGGGTAAGTTATAGTAATCCCAAAAAACTAAAATAAATTTTTTTATGTATCTTTACGTTGCAAAGGTTTGGAACATTTTGGCATTCCTTAGAAAAAATGCATGTATGTGCGTGTGTGTGTGCAGATAGGAATTTTTGTCGACGATTTCGGCAATAACCGATTTGAATAATTCAAATAAACATTCGATTCATATTAATAAGAAGACCTGCTGATTAGTTTTTAGAAGAAGCAGGTCCAGCCGATTCGAAGATACGGGGCAAAAAGTGCCTAAAATGGTAACTCAGTTTTTCCATAGAACGGAACGTATGATTTTATTAGTTCAAAAAACATTTTACTTCTATTGACAAAAAGAAAAAAATGATTAAATTTTTGGGAAGGCAGGGCTATCGGTTTTGGAAATCCAGTCAAAAAGTGAAAAAAAGCTATTTGGGGTCAAAAATGATTATTAGACATGTGCACATCAAATCAACATATACAAGATACAACATATAGAGATTTTCGTAATAAATATACATTTTGTTTACATTTCTAAGGGTTCCGTAACAATGTCCATTCGTAAGTCTGCGACGCAGCGCTTATGCGCTTCTATATTTCATCTCTAAAACAGCCACACAGCACAATTGCCTTAAAATAGTTTCAAAATTTAAAAAAATCTAAATTTTCAAAAGACTTTTTTTATCAATAACTTCAAAATATTCAAAAATCTCATTTTTTCAAAATTTTCAAATAATTTAAAAGCTTCCTACAAAAATAATTTTTTGCCTGTGCACCACTAGTTTATTTTATTTTATTTATTTTGAATTTGAATTATTATTTTATGATGAATATTTATGATGTTTTTTGATATAAGATCAAATCAAGAGGTTAATTAAAAAATTAAAAATCTTACATGTTATGAAAAAATATTTCTCAAATTTCTTACTTAATATAATCACTTATTTAAAATAATTGCCTTGCGGATCACTTTAGATTTTATGGTGGGCCAATACGACATTGAAAAGTAAACTTAAAAAAAAATACATTTATTCTAAAATATTTAGTACAAATATTGGCGGTAAATGATACATATATTACTATTAGTATAATATGGACTTTGTGCAAAACGTAGAAATTTTTATGATCATGAATTAAAATAAAGTACATCTCGAAACATTTGTTTTACATTATTATCTAATAACAAAGTTAGTCAAACAGGATGCAGCTAATAAAATTGTACAAATGGAAAAGCGTGAAAAAATATATTATATTATTTGCATACAACATTCTAAACTTTAAACGATGATCCATAAAAACGATCGCATATATTCATTCAATTTTTATTACAGAATTCATATTATATAATTATAATTAGAATATATATTTGTATTCAAAATCACTTCAGGGTTGTAAACAAGCAAAAACTTTATGCTATTTTAGTGTCTTGAAGCAAATAAAGCTAAATCAAATAAAAGCTGCTATTAAGAAATAATGTATTAATTTAAAAACTTTGAACGATACTAAGTAATTAGTACTAAAAATGCATAATGCGTAACTGATACAAAAACAACTCAATTGAAATAGAAATAAAAAAGTTGCAGCATTTTTATAACCATCAATACTTGTGCAGAATAATTATGTATTTATAGATATATAATGAGCTATTGACAATTTTAATGGAAAATTACAATTACATGCCTTTCAAGATGGAATAATTTGTTCGTTTTATTTTATTCTTGCTTATCAGGTTACTTTGTTGATAATCATTGGAAATGTAGGTGAAATATAAATATTTACAGTAATTTGTTTTTATTTGTGTTAATACATTCAAGGACAAATTATTAATGATATTTAATGATTTATTTCTAAATGTATTCTCTATAATGCAAATTTCATAATTTCAAAAATGATCAAAAATAATATGTTATCAAAAATAAATGTTAATTGTTTATTAATTCAAATAACTGATGTTCAATAAATAATGTTTATCGATAATAATAAATAATGTTTTAACAAATATAAAACAGAATATGCGCTGAATGTAAAATTAGGAATATAACTGAATTAATAATTCTCTCTGCAATTAAGTAACTATCTGTCAATCTTCCTAAATTTATATAATATGGAATAAAATTTGAAGATTTTGAATTGCAGAATATTAGCCAGTTAAATAACCAGGTTAAACTAATTTTGGAACTAATTAAAGTCGGTTGATCCATAGTGTGGATTTTTCTGTTTTTTTTTTAATTAGCAATCAGAAATACAAAAAGATTCTTATGAACGACGTCTAAGAAGAACTCCAATGAGATCTTCTTAGTTTAATAATTGATATGATGATGTTATATTGAAGAAAATCTAATCGAAGTGTGGAAAATGTCGAGGACTATATAAGTAAACTCTATACCTTATGAACCTTGAATGCAAATAATTGGAAACGAAATTTGTAATCATTTTTAAGAGCTCCATAAATTAACTGATAATTTGATGTGCATACGTCTAAATGATTATTTTTGACATTTTTCAAAACTTTTTCTTCTAGTTTTCTAAGAATGCACTTGCGTTTACAAAAATTCCATAAATTCTTCATCTTATCAATACAAGTGAAATGTTTTTTGAATCATTCAAATCGCACGCTCCGTTTTCTTAAAAAGTGAATTCCCATTTTTGGCACTTTTTGCCCCGTATCATCGAAACGGCTGGACCTGCCTTTGCAAAAAACAAATCAGCATGTTTCCCATCAATATGTATCAAATGTTATTTGAATCATTCGAATCGGTTGATCTTTGTTCTCGAAATCGTCGACGAAAAATTGTATACGCACATACATTTATACATACACACACATACACACACATGCACACACACATACACACACATCCATTTTTTCAAAGGTATGCAAAATGTTTAGAAACTTTTGGAACGTAAAGACTTGCAAAAAATTTCATTTTCCTTTTTTTTGCGATTACTATAACTTACCCTACAAAAGTTAATAAATAAATTTTTGGGCTATTTATTGTAAAAGTTCACTAGAATAAATGCACATTTGCTAGAATTATTTTATATTTATAGAAAACTACTAGAAAATTACTAGAAAAATAGACATATATTTATATATTTCCCTAATAGGTTTGTTAATGAATATATGAGCGAAGTACGGAAGTTAGTTTTGGTTTGAATGTTTTTTTAGAAAATATTTGATTGTTTCGAAAACTGAAAGAATCTCAAATTTTTAAAAATAAAACATGTGAATGAAATTAAATTCCAGTAATAAAATCGTTATATTGTATGCATCTCAAATAAAATAGTTTTAAAATAGTTTACCATTATTATATCACGTTATTTTCACTATGCATGCCGATGTTTGTTCAAATTTATTTGCTTTTACATGTAAATATACTGAAATCATGTTTAGAATTCGATATTTTAAGTATTTAAAGTTTGTTTATTCAGTAATTATGATCAATTATAATTGAAATTATTATGCAATGGAATGGGTGATGTTTAGTCAATTTGCTATTGTCGTTTTCCGGAGATATGTTTGGATAAATTTCTCTTAAGTAATATTGTTCTTCCTGAACAGGTTTGTTATACAAATATATTGGTGAAGAACATTTACTGATGATTATTTATTTATTTTTCGAAATTAATATGATTTATAATTATTGACAAAAAATTCGTGGTAACTTTTGCATAGAAAATCCTAAATCACTTGATTTGATATTGATACTTTGTAAATTATAGATTAAAAAAACTAGTGGAACAAAAGGCTTCGATTGCAAGAAAAATTATATATATTAATTTTTACTCAAAATTTAACGAACAAAATTCTCTGCATTATTGTTTTCAAATTTAAAATTGAAGTAAGTTATTTCTTTTTCTTATTGTTTTACATATACATTTCATCCACCTATTATTATGTGAAGAGCATTTAGTAATTTTATCTATAGCACATGACTATTAGAAGGAATCCCAATTGTTGTCTTTTCTAGTTGTGATATATTTTATCAATTAGTATTTTTGAATTTTTTTCATAAAATATTCTTATATTTGTTCGTAAATATAATAATCACAACTTTGCTGCCCTACCCGTTTTTGTCAATTAATGCAAAAATTTCGTTAAATACCTCCGTTTGGAAAACAACATCTCAGTTAGACTATCCTGTTCAAAATATTTTATGCTAATTTTAAATATTATTTCGAATCATATCATTTTAAAGGATTTTATTTTCTATGATACTTAGAAAAACCACATATGTAAGTAATCCATAGACGTAAAATAAAAAACAAGGATCTTCCATTTTTTGTTACCAACAGCTTAGAAAATGATTTTATTTTACAAAAGTAATTTTTACCAAATGGTTATTAAATATGTCATTTGAATAAGTAGATAGTAAGTTATGTCATCAGTTATAAATTCAATGAAAATTTCATCATAAATCAAATTTATGGCACAATAGTTTTTTTTTTAAATTTTATGCTCTTTTTCTTATTTTTTATTTACGCCATTCATTTGTTATTAACTTCTTCCTTACAATCTTATAAAATATTTTGAATAGGACATAAAAGCATTAAAATAAAAATTTATTGACTTTTGAAATCTACAAAAATTTATGAATTTTACACCCAATTATGTTTTTAATAATTTAAAAAATTTAACATTCAAAAATAAAGAAACTTATTAATACTTACATTGCTTATGAGGGTCTGTCTGTCTGTAAGATTCAATCCCAATCCGGCTACAGCGCAGTCTCCGGGTATAGCGACCACTTTGTGCCTAAACTTAGGCACTTCTTCTCGTAGCCTACTGAAAACCTGAAAGAAAATAAAAAAATTCCATAAATTCAACGTATTTATATTTCAAATTAGATTCTAAACTAGTTGAAAGCGGCATTTAGCTTTAAGGCAAGTTGCATGAACTTCCCGAAATGTGTAAGAATTGACTTAATCAATCAAAATTGAAATTAAGATATTTAGATAAAATGTTCAACTGATTATTTTGAAAATAATATTTTAGTATGATCTATAAGACTATGGTATCTACATTAAAAAAAATCATAAAAATTGTCGAAGTTTGTTTTTTAGCACTTTATCACAAGAAACGACCCGGCTGTTCTTTACCTAATCAGCACTTCTCCTTCGGGAAGTTCATAAAGTACCCACCTGTGTAAAGTCACATAATAGAGATTTAGTGAGAGGAGAAATCGATTTGACTTTAAAATGAAATAATTTTTCAGTGATGTTAGAAATGTATGTTTTAATTTAATTAATAATTAAATTAATTATGTGTTTATTATTTGAACAGCAATCAGAATTTTCAATATTAGTATTATTTTAATAGTTATGATTTCTTATTGATGCAGCAATTTTTGGCACGGGCTATTATATTTTCACTTGAAAACATATTGCTATCTATATTTCCAAGTGAAAGCCGATGCCACTAGTGCTTGGCATCAGGCTGCCACAAGTGAGTATTGAGGCTGCAACCTCTGATTGAAATTTCATAACTCTAACCATTAATCCATGCGGATTGCTTTAAAATGTAAATACTTTATTTGGGGTGCAAAAATATAATTTGGATTTAAGCAATTATACTGTCAGAACGAAACCAACTACGTTTTTTTTGATATTTTTAAAAAAATTGTAAGCCGGTCAGCCAGGGGACAAAGAGATCTCTCATTTTATTTTTAATTTTAAAGATGTTTTATAGCCTAATAGCAAGGGGACAAAGAGATCTCTCATTTTATTTTTAATTTTAAAGATGTTTTATAGCCTAATAGCAACATTTATTCAATGGGATGCAGTTCAATTATTAGATTGCCCAATAAAATTAAATTCATAATCTAAACATTATAAACAAAAAAATTATCAACACTTACTGCTATCATAAATCTTGTTTGGTAGGTATTTTTGATTAATTTATCATAATTAGAATTTTTGCTTACTGAAATGCAGTTATTACAAATTGAGTGAATACAACTTCTTTTGAATTACATATTTTATAGGCACATTTTTTATAAAAATCGCACTGGGTACAACCTTTGTTTGAAACTTAGTGAGAAGAATCCATCATTATAGTTGAAATAGCTAACAATTCAACTTCATTAAAAAAATCCTAACTTTACTCGTTTTTGAGATATTGCTTGTGTTAGCTTAGGTTCAAAACGCGAATTTTGATTTTGTATGAACATTTTTCACATAATATTGTTTCAAAATAAAAATTTTAATTAAAATATTTAATAAAAACAAATATGATTTTTTTTTAAAATATTCTTGCATGATTATTTCATATAAAAAACTCAACACTACAAAAGTTATTTTTCTTACAAAATCAGGAATGTTTTTAATTCTCTTAGAATTATATTAGTTAATTATTTATCCTTCCCTTAAAAGATTTGTATCAACACGTGTCAGGTAACGGTAGGTTTAATGAACCAAATAAACCAAATATATTCCATGGTCTCAAAGGAAGTTCAAATTTGACGTTAACATATCCATCTTAATTATATTTTGCATTTTCTCATACTATATATATTTAAATGTATTCTATACGCTTGAAAATTTTCTCGGTCATTACTGGCGCTAATGTGACGTGAAATTATAACGTCGATTCAATCAAAACTGATTTTAATAATGACAAAAACATATATGTACTATGTATTAATAATGAGCAAGGAACGGAATTGACAGATCTTTTGAATAAATTATTCGCGTTTGTATAGAATTTGTTATAGGAAGCGAATTTGTCGTATGTTACTTACGTAATTCCAAAAAAACTTGTCTGATATTTAAAAAAATTATAATTATTTCAAAATTAGTAAGTTTTGAAGTAATTTAATGTTTTCAGATCACGTAGCATATTATTGAACATCACAGATGATATTTATATTTACCATGGCTAAAGTATTGTATTTGAACAAGCATTTAAGTATCATAATAAATTCATTTAAAATTATTTAAAAAAAAAATCATTCCAAATTGTATTATGAGTTTTTTTTATAGCATTTTCAACGTTGAGACATATTTGAATCTTAAAAATGTAATGAATAATTTCATAATTTATTTATTCTAAGCTTTTAATACTTGGTACATGTCACGCAAAACAAACCAGGTGTAACAAAAATTACTTTTAATTGATTAAAAAAACATCGAAGTATAACTACAATTTTACAAAAAAAAAAAACTAACTAAAAAATAACATTCTAAATATTTAAATAAAACAATGATGTTAAGCATAATTTGAATTTGTTAAAACATTAATTTGATTATGGTTTTATGGTTTTAGTGTATTATGGTTAATTTGTGTATTATCAAGTGTCAAAACGTACAATTTTTATCCAATATTTATTTCGACGAATTGGCTGATAATTATTTTAAAAATATAAGTTTATAAAATTGAACAAGTGGTGCATAGCCTTGTACCTTGAGGCAAATTGCTGGAACTACCTGTACTGTGGTTTAAAATTATTAAAAGCTTTGAACTTAAAAAAAAGATTTTTTTGAAATTTTAAAACCGATTCAAGTCGTTGGATCTATAGTGACAAAAATGTGGAATTTGTTTGAACTATATAAGTGAAATAAATAAATTTTATAAAACTTGATACAGAACCCTAGAAATGTAAACCTAATTTGTACTCAATATTAAAATCTCTATAAAATATGATAATTTGATGTACATATATCTAATGATAATTTTTGACCGCTAAATGAATTTTTCTAAATTTCTTCCCTGTATCTTTAAAATTGTTGCACCTGCCTTTACAAAAATTTCATCAATTTCATATTTTGTTAATACTAGTTAAATGTTTTTTGAATCATTCAAATCGATTGGTCCGTGCTCCCCAAAACGTCGACAAAAATTGTATCCACACATACATATGTATTCGCACACATTATTGCTTTTTTTATAAGGTATGCCAATATATTCAGAAACTTTTGAAACTCAAATATATAAAAAAATGGACATTTTCGATTTTTTGCCATTACTGTACCTTACCGGTCACCCTAAGGGAAGTTAATAAAATAAAATTAAAGTTTTTCAGCAAATGTTATTTTTGTAACCAAAATAATCTCTTGGTTTTATTATGTAGTTATTTCACACTTTTTTACAGAAGCCTTTGATTTTAATATAATATTAGATTATTAGATATTGGCCAAATAGTCATATTAATGAATATCAACCCTTTCCACTCGGATGCCGCCGCTCTGGCAAATTGTTGCGCTTCTTTAAAATGCTCTAACAACGTAATTTCAGAAATTCTCAACTGATATTATAATTTATTTATCGGGCTACAAGTTAATATACAATATTTTGTAAAAATAGACACACAAATTAATTATTTATTAATTTCAACATTTCGGTTTATTTTCGAAAATCGTGTTTTGAAAACTTCCCCTGTAACAACCTCGCGCCCTCCTGAGGAGTAGCGACCCACAGGTTGGAAATCACGGCATTAAGTACATACTTAGTATGACATTTGATAAATAAAAATGTAAACATATTTGCTATGCAATTTTCTATTATAGTGTTACTGTTAACAGTCTTGGATACTACTCTTTGGGTCGCGATAAATGTATTTAAAATAGAGATAAATTAATTTGAAATAGAGAGAATAATATTATGAATAGAAGTGTTCTAATGCTTCTAATTTTTGTCAAATTAGTTTTTATGGGTTTATTATTAAGAGACTTAAATTTATGACCAATTAGAACATATAAAGCGCATACAATAAATGAGAAATCCGTCTGATTGCTATATTGTTATATAACATTTTGCTTCTCAATTTTACACATAATTACTATAATTGTGAAATTTTTAACTTAGTATTTATAATATATTGGCATTATTTATATTATATTGGCATTATATTATATTGATTAATGTGAATTATTTAATCTGTTAAGTTAAAACTTTCTCAGTTAAAAAAATTTCACCAATTAATATGTAATCGGTTTAAACTTGAAAATGCGTTGAACGCGCAACCGGCAAAACAATGTTCGCGAAATCATTGCCAATTAGAAAAACTAATCAGTGCGAACAAAAACAGAAAACTTACATATGTGAACCCGTGGAAAGATGTCATTGACACAAATTTCGGTCAGGGTTAATAGTTGGTAATGAGTTAGTCGATTTCCTACCAAATTGAGTAAAACTATTAGGATATCTTTTATGTTGTATTAAAAGATTATATAGAGTAGAACGGGGCTTAAAGGTCCGTGGGTAAAAAGGTTTACCACAGATATCTCAAAAACAAGTAAAGTTAAGAATTTTTGAATAATATTTGAAAGTAGAGGGAAAGAAATGTATAACCAGTCATTACCTTGATTCTTATGACCGCGCTATCGGGAGCTAAACATCAATGTTTGAAAATCGGTAACAAAAGTATTTTCTTTTGTTGTTAGTTTTTTTGGTCGTGAGCACTGTTGTTTAGTCCACGAGACCTTGATATACTTTATTCAATTATTTTATAAAATGTGTTATTAATTCAATTCAATTCAATATTACCTCAATAAAAGCTCTTTGTGGGGCAAAAAGGACCAACTGAACTTTTACACTGGCTTATGTGTAAAAAATAAAAAATAACAAATATAAAGTAAATTCAGTAAAATAAAGCAATTTTACAAGAAATAAATTAAATAAATATTATAGTTATTTCAAATTCAAATTCAAAGCATTCTTAACATTTTGGCATACATTGGATGGATACGTGTGTGTATATATGAATATGCGGATACAATTTTTCGTCGTCGATTTCGGGATCAACCGATTTGAATGATTTAAAAAATATTCGATTCGTATTAACGTCGCTGATTAGTTTTTGAGATAGGCAAGCCCAGCCGTTTCGGAGTTTTTGCAACAAAAGTGCAGAATATGACAATTCAGTTTATTACTTCAACATTTTACCTGTATCGAGGAATTGATTACATATTGGGAAGGCAGATCCAGCGGTTTCAGAGATGCAAAACAGTTGAAAGACACCATGTAGTGATCAAAAACAATTTTTACAAATTACTATTATTCTTTTATGTATAAATAGAATCATTGGTAATACAGGTAGACAGGTAGTTTATTTATCAATCCACCATTTTACCTGTCTATCAATTTACCTGCCAATTTTCTTGTCCATTAGTTCACTTATCTACCAAATAACCTGTCTACCTGCTCATCTGTCTACGTATGTATCTATCTACCTGTTTAACTATTTATACATTTACTTGGTTACCTGTCTGCCAGTTTACCAGTCTATCAGTCTGTATATCCATCAATTACCAATTAATTAAAAAAGATATAATTACTCTAATAAGTCTTACAAAATAAGGGTTTGTGGTAGGAGGTTGAAAATTTAGAGACATGTTTTTTTATTGTTCAACAATATGTTTCGGAATTTGTAAAATGGCTCAAAAAGTGGAAAATAAAAATAAATGAAACAAAATCTAGCCATATAACCTTCACAACAAGAACCCTGGACTGCTCAAGCGTAAAAATGAACAACATAAAAATATCAAAATATGAGAGCGTAAAATACCTTGGGATTCATCTGGATAGAAAATTAAGCTGGTCAACGCACATCAAAATAAAAAAACAGATGGAGAAGTTCATAGAGTTCTATTGGCTAATTGACAGGAATTCAAATATGGGTTATGAAAACAACTGCTTTCAACTGCTTTTATAAAAAGCAATAATTATCCCAATCTGGACATACGGAAATGAGCTATGGGCGTGCGCAAGCAATTTAAATATAAAAATAATATAAAGAGCGCAATCTAAAATTTTAAGATGCAATGTGAACGCACCCTGGTACAAATGATACTCTACATAAAGATTTAAAAATTAAAACTATTAATGAAATGATAAAAGAAAGAAGCTAAAACTACCACAAAAAATACCAGGTCACCCAAACAAATATCTAAAATAATTAAGCAAGGAATCTCCTACTTGAAGATTGAAAAAAATGGCCATACGATCTTAAATAAAATGTCAAAAAATAAAAAAATAGAGATCTCATAGGAGATAATCTCTTAAATGCACTATGTTAATAAATCTATGCAAATAAAAAAAATATGTTTTTTATACCCATTACAAAAAAATAAATAAAAATTGATCGAAAAAACTTAAAAAAAATATTAAAAAAGTCTTCAAGCGGCCAACAATTATCACTTGGTTTAAATCAAAATATCCAAAACCTGTCAGGGGATTTACCTAACAATTTCCGAAATTTTCACGGCCATTGTGGACGTATAGATTGTAAAAAAAGGTATAATTACTGATAATTTCTTGCAAAAAAGGGGTTTCAGGTATACATTTATCTCAGTTTTGTTATAAATATATTTAAATATATAAATATATATTTTATGTACTCAATTAAAAGATCTCCAAACAAAGACTACTATTTTCCAAAAGAATTCTCAAAAACATTATTTTATGTTATTGAAAAATTAACACGTTTCATGTCCACTACAATAGCCTGTATTATATTGATTATTGTCTTATTTTCGAATGTGAATGACATTAATCTCGGTCGGGGTTTCGCATCGTATTCGGATCATTCTCCGCCGTCGTCTGAAGATACGTTGTGTTTGCACAACCTTGACGTATTTCCCCACATCTCTGATTTTGGTGAATTCGTCTGTTGTTCGACAAAAATGAAAATTGAGAAATTTTGGCCTTGCCTGCGTCCGTGCAAGGTCTTTTTCAAATTTCTCATCTTCAGGTGTAATTTCATATGTGAATGTACTCATTTGGTAAATGTTTACAGGTGTGGTTGTTTTAGATAATAGATGTGTGAACAAATTGAAATAAAGATGTCGTTTTTAAATAGTTATGGTTATGCAAATGGTTTGCAAATTTGGAAATTTTTTGAAGGCATTCGATATATCTTTATTATGTGTAATAAAATAGAGTTGACATTACACATTCATTACCTAATTTTTCATACAAACATTGTATAAATATCAAGTGTATATGAACAATATTTTAAAAAAAATGTTTGAACAGCAATGAGAATTTTTAGTTTCTATAAGCTGTTGTTATGATTATTCTTACTAATGGCTATTGTAAGTCTACCCAATAATTTTCTTATTGTATTTTTATCATTTTTTTAAAGCAATTCAACGGCTGTCCTTTTCTGATTGTGGTGAAAGAATAATTTTTACTTAGAAATATACTTTTGATTAATATTTTCAAAAGATAATGAATATTACTACTGCTTGATATTCGGTTGCAAGTAATGTCAGATTTACACCCGGAACTAGTGTTTGCAAGACTGTTGCTAAGCCGGGATAAAATGTGGGTCCAGATATACTTCTTTTAAACAAATAGTTTTAAAAAGCTTTGAAAGCTACAATAAAATTAAAAAACGAATGCTTTTCTTATTTTTTCCAAATTATGCTGATAATATTGATGATGATATAAATTAATAATTGCTAATTGACTTGATTTACATTGTAGTTTTCACCGAAGAACTGTTTCCAAAATTTTCTTATCCCGCTCACATTTTGAGCGTAAAAAGATTGATTTATTTTTCAAAGTGGATATAAAACCTTCAGTTAAAAATTTCTAATTTGATTTTAAAATTTAATTTCAAATTCTATGAATTAACCAATTAAAGTTGAAATATGAAAGTCAAACGACTTATTATCATGTCTTTAAAAAATTTAGTTTATACAAAATATAATAATTTATTGGCAACAAACGATATTCCAAATTTATTTAGCAATATTTAAATTTTTAACTTCCCGTAGGGCAAGTTATGGTAATCGCAAAAAAATCTAAAATGTAAATTTTTATATATCTTTACGTTTCAAAACCTTCTGAACATTTTGGCATACCCAAGAAAAAATGGATGTATGTGTGTATGTATATGTGTGTGTGCGGATACAAATTTTCGTCGACGATTTCGGGAACACGAATGAAGCGATTTGAATAATCAAAAAAACATTCGATTCGTATTGATAAGAAGACGTGCTAATTAGTCAAATGGCAAAGACAGGTCTAGCTGTAGATACGGGGCAAAAAGTGCCAAAAACAGCAAATTAGTTTTTAAGAGAACGGAGCGTCCGATTTTAATAAGTCAAAAAACATTTTACTTGTATTGACAAGATAAAGAACTGAATAAATTTATGGAAAGACAGGTCTTTTGGTTTTGGAGATCAAATTATCGGATATTTTATAGAGATTTTAATAATAAAATATAAATTAATATAAATTAAAATATAAATTTCAATAATAAGTATAAATTTTGTTTACATTTCGATAATTCGCCTCTATGCAGCAATACGATTGCAATAAAAAAAGGTTCTAAAATATTTCAAAATGAAGAAAACATTTTTTTTCGAAAAGCCTTTTTTCTAAATCTATTTTTTTCAAATACTAAAAAAAGATTTAATAATTCTTAAAAATAAAAAAAATTGGTACGGGAAGTTTCAGCAATCTGCCTTAAGGTACGATGCCATGGACCACTAGTTTTATTTATTTTTTCAAATAATGCTTTGATGATGGTATAAATCAAAGTAGTGTATTCACTAAATAACTGTTTCAAAAAATTTTTTTTATCCTGCTAATATTTTGAGCGTTAAATGATTGATTTATTTTTCCAAGTGGATATAAAAGCATTAGTTAAAAATATCTATTTTAATTTCAAAATTATATTTCAAATTCTGCGAATTAATTAAAACTCGTGAGGTGAATTTTTCGTGAATTATTATCATAACTTTAAAAAAATTAGTTTAAACAAAATATAATAATTTATTGGCAAAAAATTTATTTAGCAATGTTTAAATTTTTTATTCACTTATTAAAAGTAGGTACATATAAACGGTAAAAGCATGCACATTATATTTTTAAACTTACCGGATCATCAAAAATTTCTTCGACTCTGGTATGAACATCTTTTCCTTTCTTGGTTCTCACCAGGAGATAAAGATTTTCGAGTCCTGGACAAGTTCGCAATAATTTGTCAATCAGGATTTTTCCCATAAAACCTGAAACAATTAAACGATTCAATTGTAATAGGTAAAATGTAAAATACATTTCGTAATTAAATTGTTATAATTATAGTAAAAACAGATTTTTATTAGATTTTTTATTATCAGTAGGTAAATTATAAACTTATTGAAAAGTTTTTTCTTTCAAGCTAAAAATTATTGTGTTAACTCGATCAAATATGAATCTTGAAATTTATAACAAGCTTAGTTAGTCCGTGTATAACAATTAGAACTCATTTTAATTATAAGCTATTGTAATAATTCTTCTTAATTACGTTAGGTGGTTACCTCATGGCTATCTTTACTTATATATATATATATATATATATATATATATATATATATTATTAATAGAATTTTTAACATTAGTGATAAATAATATTTTAGTTTAAGACGAATGTCTTATTCGAGACATATCTTAGTATCATTGAACGTAAGTGTTAATTGTTAATATAAATACAGAAAAGTTGGAAAAACGAATTGCACTCGTGGTTAGCAATAATTCAAAATAGACTGTAGTTTCTTTAGTTAAAAAATTACTTGCTATTCGTCATCAATTACACAAACTTTTGGCTGTCTGATTCAATATCGCGTAAATTATAAAATTGAAAGTTAGCATTGGAAATAATATCGCAAATAGTTTATAATTTTAAATAAAAAATGGAATTATTTTTTACCTGTTCCGCCAGTGAGCAGGACGTTGGCTCCACTGTAGAACTGCTGCAAAGGAGTCCCTGCCAAAACTGGGGCATCTTCATTTACCAATAGGTTTTTCAGATTTGTTTCGTTGTTTCGAATCACCAAATCATCCATCTGAAATAAAATATGAATACGATAAGTTATAATAAAATTACAAACCAATAGAGATATCTGAGAATAAATTATAGCAACTTTACATGACATTTAACAAGATTCTAAATTGGTGGGATGGTAATAATTCAACTGAACACAACATTTTGGAAAGTTGTAGTTTAGGGAGCGTTCATTATTCACGTGATCGATTTATTAAGAATTTTTGGACTTTCCTCCCCTTGGTGATTCGTGGTGATGTTCAAAAAAACCTCTCCCCCTCCGCTACTAAACATGACGTGTATTTTAAGTTAGGAGAAAAAATGGTAAAATATTTTTTTTTTGAAAATGTTTGGTTTTTTTTTAAAAAAAATTAGGTAAAAATAAAAACACATGATATATTTCTATACCCCTCGAACCCCCATGTAATTGTGAATTTTATGTCAAACCTTCCTCCCCCCAAAAACTTTACGTGATTAATGGACGCCTTAATAGAGCAAAATAGACAAATATATGAAAAAAATGGAAGAATTAAATTAAATCCCTGGTTAAACCGTTTAATTCGATGGAATCTATTTTTGGTGGATTTTTTTATAGTATGTAGATGATTAAATGTGTATTAACCCTTTCCACTCGCGAATTCCGAGATTTTAGATTTGAATATGGCGGCATCCGAGTTGAAAGAGTTAAAGGCCAATTAAATTAGTTTAAAAAAGATTTCATATTAAAAGTCAACGTTCAGCATTTGCAAAGACATTTAAGAAGTCAATTATTTTTTAATAATAATAGGATACTAATGTTGTGTAAAACTAAGCTTTTCAAAATTGAAATTAGTTTATATACATATATATTTATCCCATTGCAGTGTTAGAAAATATTCTTTATTGAAGAAGAAATCTAATTAAATTAGCCAACGTGTTGGCTAATAACATGTAACTTATTCATAATACTTTATAACATGGGAAAGTAATTTTATTGTCTTAATTTTCTCAATATTGCAAACAAAGTTGCATACATTAATAATTTTTAATTTGCACAGAAAAAGGGTAAGATTTACATTTTCACAATATAATAGCCTAATTTAAATTGAATTAATTATTTTTTTTCATATGCATTTACAAAAAAAGTATGGAATAAATCAATATCTAAGCTAGTGGTACATGACATCGAGGCCTTCAGGCAAATTGCTGGGAGTTTCCCTATCAGAATCAAATATTCGAGGGAAAAAAATTGTAAAAATGTACTGACATATGAATCACTCAAATCGGGCACTCCGTTTACTCAAACATTGAATTACCATTTTTGGCATTTTTGCATCGTATCTTCGAAATAGCTGGACCTGTCTACGCCAAAATTTAATCAGCACGTCTTCCCATTAATAGAAATCGAATGTTTTTTAACCATGCGCCCGAAATCGTCGACAAATTGTATCTATTGTGTATATATATCATTATATATACATACACACATACACATCTTTAACGCACTAAATTCTTTACACACGTAAAGTTTGCAAAAATTCTCATTTTCGATTTTTTTCTATTACTAATACTATAAGTTACCCTGTGGGAAGTTAATTATTATTGTTTATTAATGGTCACAATACATAACTAATTTGAAATAGATTTAAATTACTATAAAATAAAATCAAATAAATCACAGAAGAAATTTATGGAATATACACGAACAAAGTAAAATTGAAAAAAAAAACGAATCATTATGCTTCGGCAATAATAACTACTTATGTTATTTTCTACACCTTAAGAATATGCATATTATTTAAAATTCTGCTATTAAATTTAGCAATATCAAATTATTTTGTATAAATATTTTTATATGTATATATTTATTTATTTAACACACTCATGTAACTTGCTCCTCACTTCTAAGCTTTAGAATTTAATTTACATTCTAAATAAAATTTTATTTAAGTGTCTTTAGGGCATGATGTTTCAGTGAACTTTTTTATACATTCTATAGATCAATCCCAATCAGTTTGGAGAAATTTAATGTCTCGTAATTAATTTCTTTAAATAGAAGATTGTAAGAAACCGGCCACTTTTATTATTAGCACGTCATTACGCAGGGACTTGTTATCTAACAGCTTTATCATATTATATCACTAGGTTATCGAATCAATATTATGGATTTAAAAATTGCTTTCTTGTGTAGTTGAAACACTGAAATTATTAACTAATGTGTTGCAATTATATATTCGTAATAATATATAATAGTAATAATATAAGATTGACCAAATTTCGCCAACTTTAGTTTGCATTTATAAAGAAATTGTTGCAGTTTTATCATGATTAGAAAAAAATTGATATTGCAAAATAAGGAGCTTTTTTGATTTAATTCTTCAAATCCACTGATTATATTTCCTCAAAATAAAACTAGATTGATATTTTAACTGTTTCTCTACCAAATCAAGTAAAATTAATTCCATAATTATTGATTATAATTTACAATTAATTCATTACAATCATTATAATTAAAAAGTGTGGTGTTACAGTTTACCCTGTGTTTGGGGCTAGTTGTACCATCTAACTTGCCAAGTTGTAACAACACAAAAACGCCAATAATACCTCTGATAATTTATTCTTTAATTATTTTCAATAAAATTGATTTGTTTCTGAGTAATTATTTATAAATCAACTGTCATAAATTTTTATCATAAATCAATGTAAACTACTATATTCATAATACAAATAAAAGATATAGTGTCTCCAACATAATTTACCTATGATGAATCTGTATATAATTCTTATATGTTACAACTAGCCCTCAGATTTTGTTTCAACCAACCCCAGGGGTAATTTTTTTTATAATAATCAAGATAACTATTTGAACAATTCAGAAATTACAAAAAATGGCTAATGTGGTAACCATCAGAGATTAATAAATTTGAAAAAAATTTAGATATACAGAATTTAAAATTAGTGGATATTAATAATGCAAGCTTAAACTTTATGACAGTAAAATTGTATATCACATTTCAAAAATGACGGACCTGCGCAGTTCTGTATATTGCATGGACAATATCTACGACAGTAGAATGCAGAGCGGTTTATAGGTCCTATCGAGACAAAAAATATTTTAATATCATTTAAAAGTCTATTGAAAAAAGCCCGTTTCTAGCTACCCCTGTTACAGATAGCCCCTAGTTCCCCTATTTGTGTTTTCTTACGAGAAGTACTAAATTACAAGTTTAGTTATCAAATTTTTATTCTGTGTGATAACTTTATTTACCAAAAATAATACATATTTCTGTAAGTTAAAATATTAAAAGAAAATAAGAGAAAGACCTCTCTATTGATCTATCTTCCTATTTTAGAACTCAATTGGTCTATCTTACTAATTTAATTCTTTAAGATGGTATAATTTTCAGGTACAATGTGAGTCACAGAATTCAATCACACAATTTAATTTAAGATGCGGTTTAATTGTTAATATACTCGGCTACTTGTAAATTTTAAGTTTTACAATTAGCCGACGTCAATTCACAAATTTGTGCTGTAATATATCTCAAAATAAATTTAACTTTATTAAATAAGTATTTTTCATTGTTCGATTTCTGCTCGTATTTATCCGATTTTTTCTTCATACGGAAGTAATTTCTTAATTTCAACATCGGTAAAAGTGGAACTAATTTACTCCCGCGTATAAATTAATTTTTATTGATAATGGTTATGCTAGCGGCTATTAAAAGATTCGATAGGAAACAACTATTGAATATCAATAATATGTTGCAACCGATTTATTTCCTATAATACATTTCATATTTTTTATTATTATTCAAATATATAAACATAATAGTTAAGATAAAAATTAAATTAATAAAACTAAGACAACTTTTCCTTCTAGCCATCAATGCTCCTGGGTATCAATTTGTAGCAACTTCATGCAAACTTCACGTAACATGTCTTTTTTAAAAAAGTTACTAATATTAAATACAAATTCATGTATACAAACGTTTATCAATGAATTACTGATCTCTATCTTATGAAATTATTATTAGATTTTTCATCTAATGCAGATGGAATTCATTTTGCGGCTATGGCCCCTAAGAGTTATTTTAACTTACAATTAGTATTATATTTGAGACTTATAATCCTAAGTAAACAGCTGATATTAATACTGTTTGATATTAAGTTCGTTGCTTGACCAAGTCTCTACCACGAAGTCATGACCAGCATCATTTTATACATAAAATAGAAATGATATTTCATTTCAGTTCTTTTAAACAAAAACAGTAATTTAATTTATATATAAATAAGTAGGAAAGCTATAGGGACTAATGCCTCGCAAGCTGACGCAATATACAGAACTGTGCAGGTCCGTCATTTTTTATAGGGATAAAAAATTTATCTATCATGAAATTTCGGTTTGTATTATTATTAACGACTAACTTTTAATTTTATATATCTTATTTTGTTTTAACTTTATCAATCTTCGATAATCTGTGACAATTTTTATGATTGCTAAATTGTATAAATAGTATAATTATTAATGAAAAAACACACACCTAGGGTTAGTTGAAATACCGAACTTTTTCTAGAAAATTAATTGTGAAATAATAGTTATGGAATAATTTTTACTTGATATTTTAGAAGAATAGTTAAAGTTAAAAAAACTTCTACGTCGATCCTCTAGCTTCCCTTTTTCTCGCAACTTTAATTTGTAAGTTAACTAATTTTTTATTATAGTTACAGTTACTAAATTGTTACAATTTCAGTAATTGTTATATTTTATTTGAATATTTATGCATTGTATATTATTCCGGAAACATAATTTTACAACCCATTTAAACAGCAATAATACATGATGCGGTGATAGAAAACCTTATATAACAATATATTGCCTAACGCATAATGATCATAAACGACGAACTTATAAATGATATCTTATTTAAAATAACTTTTAATCAAGTTGAACGAGTTTGTAAATCTCTCTTATTAATTAGCACGGCGCATATGTGTCAGACTGTTATATAATTTCGTGTCGACGAATTTCACTTTCCTTAG